TTTTAGCCTGTCCAGTGTATCTTATTTCCATAATTTTATTTTTGTACTTTGGTGAAAAATGAGGTGGACTAATGCTGGTTCCAGAGAGACTAAAAAATTGCATCCTACCCATCCAGTGCCAAGGACTGACTTATCAACTTATCATAGGACTTTAATATTGGGTGCATAGGGGAAGGTTCCTACAAATCTGTTTTTAAGAATACTTCTTTTGACATTTCCTTAAATGTTATCCGTCAAAAAAAAGAGTAAACATATCAGGTGGGTGGTGAGTCCTGTCTTCACTGACCAACACCGACGGCCAAGGAATCTTCAGCATCTGACACTCTGCCGGTTGTGCGCAATATACACTGTGGTTTCCCCTTGCTAGTCACTACATCAATACAGTAGGCGGAACCGATGCTAGGGAATGGAACCATAGCATGCGGTGGGGTTTGAAGGCATCTGACACACCTGGTTGTGTCAGGCATTGGACAATGAAGATTCCGTGGACCTTCAAGAGTCACGAACCACCAGAATGGTATTATAGATCTTTCTTTGGATAAATGAAAAGGAAAAACACCAAATAATAGACATTTTTTACACTGTGTATGCTACTGCTGTTTTCCGGAGATGTCTGAAGCTGGTTCTGTAGCAATGGTAGCCAAAGGAGCGAGGTGACTGACCACACACGGACTAATCTGACAAGATGAAAATCAAAAGCAAATGGAACACAGGTATTTCATTAAATCCAAGAGCGGAGACAGGATGAAGCTTGCTGCCGGGAGCCCGTTCAATCGAAATAAGTGTCAAAAACCCAGCTGGGGAGGCATCTGAGGTTGTGATATGACCGGGAATTGGCATAATATTTTAACAGAGATGAAACTTCCAAATGTCTGTGACAAACTAGGAAATAAAATATGTGAGAAAGAGGCAAATGAAACAGTGAGGCTGGAAAAAGGGTCAACGCTGGCAAAAAAAGAGAGATGGTCATTTCCAGGAAGGTGATGACTTGGGAAGAAGCATACAAATAAAACATTTCCTATGGAGGCCACGGGATGGAAAACACAAGGGAAATACTGGCCGGGGTGGGGGGTGGGGCAGAGAAATACTACGGACTGAGGAACAGGAGGAGAGACAGTGCTGAAGGCATGATTAGCAAACAGCACTCATTATATCTGACACACAGCATGCAGCAAGCACACCCCACCCCACCCCACCTCCATGCTGTGTACAAAACATTGGAGGGCCAACACGCAACCCTGCTCAGATCCCAGGTTTGCAGAGGGGATCTTACCGCACCCCTCCGTACTCACCATCCTCTGTGGGAACATAGATGTTAAGATACAGGCAGTCCTCGTTCTGCTCTTGGAGGTATCCGGTCACAGTGTCCAGGTTTGAGGTGAACCAGACCGGCATCATGATATCCGGCACCGCGTTCTGTATGTTCTGCGGGCACACGGGCGAAAAGTGGGTGGCGTTCCTTATGCCCGACCAGGAGGGAGGGGGTTCAGGTGGAAGGAAACGCTTCTCTCCCATGGGAGGTGCTGCATAGGGCACCCCCAGGTACTGATCCACGGGGCCCAAGATGTCGTTGGGTAAGGACACCCGCATGCCGCGCAACTTGCCGTAGTGCGTGTTCACAGTCTGAGAGTACACCTGGGCATGAGAGGACAGGAGACGAGCAGCCACACTTATCACCCACAGGGCCAGACTTAGCTTCCTGGGGACCACGCTGAGCCCGACTGCATGCATGGTGTGGAACGTGCAGCTCTAACATCCAGAATGTAAGCGCCACCGCTGGGGTAGCAGAAGCAATTCGGAGTCCCCCGCACGGGACACTTCAGTCACATCCTGTATCCCCAAATCTAAGGACACGGCAGACAAGCAGCAGATCGGACAGGACAGCCGGCATCCACAGGACCTGCCAGAGAAAAAACAAGGTCAGTGCTTAAAGAACAACCATGGGCAAGATGAAGAATAAGCATTGTAGACACCTGACCATCAGACCTTAGGGTCATCTCATTCCAAGACCAAGGCCATTTATGATGGAGACCTCACCCCCCATGGCCATCAATATGGAGTACTCACCCCCCATGGCCATCAATATGGAGTACTCACCCCCATGGCCATCAATATGGAGTGCTCACCCCCAATGGCCATCAATATGGAGTACTCACCCCCCATGGCCATCAATATGGAGTACACACCCCCCATGACTATTAATATGGAGTACTCATCCCCCATTGCCATCAAAATGGAGTACTCACCACCCATGACCATTCATATGGAGTTGCCCCAATGGCCATCAATATGGGGTACTCACCCCCAATGGCCATCAATATGGAGTACTCACCCCCATGGCCATCAATATGGAGTACTCACCCCCCATGACCATTAATATGGAGTTGCCCCAATGGCCATCAATATGGAGTACTCACCACCCATGACCATTAATATGGAGTTGCCCCAATGGCCATCAATATGGAGTACTCACCCCCCATGACCATTAATATGGAGTTGCCCCAATGGCCATCAATATGCAGTACTCACCCCCCATGAGCATTAATATGGAGTTGCCCCAATGGCCATCAACATGGAGTTATCCCCCTTGTGTCCATACCAGGGGTCTCAAACCTCTGGCCCTCCAACTGTGGTGGAACTACAAATCCCATGAGGCATTGCAAGATTCTCACAGCCACAGACATGACTCCCGAAAAGAGATGTATGATTTGTAGTTTCACCCCAGCTGGAGGGCCGGAGGTTTGAGACCCCTGGTCTATACCATTCTCAACTCCTCTGGAAAGGCTTCCACAAGATTTTGAAGGGAATTTGTCCCATTTGTAAGATCAGCATTCCAATTCCTCCCAAAGGTGGTCAGTAGGGGTGAGGTCGGGGCTCTGTGCAGGACACTCGGGTTCCTCCACCACACTGGTCACACCCGTGTCTGTATGGAGCTGGCTTTGTACACGGGGGACAGTCATGGGGGGGAACAGAAAAGGGTCTTCACCAAACTGTGACCACAAGGCTGGAAGAGCCCAATTGTCTCCAATGTCTTTGTATGATGGAGGACCAAGCATACCCTACACTGGAAGCGGTTAGGTGTCCATATACGTCCTTTGGCCATACGGCATTGCGCAACTGAATCTCGGCACTTCTATTTTGGGCAAACGTCTTCTTCAGGCTTGACC